TACTGATTTCAGCTGGTGTCTTGGCTTTACATGCCTTTTTGCACCTCCCTTTCTTCAAGTGTTCAATCCTTTTTCCCATATATAGATAAATATCGTGCTGTGCTCCTCTATTATTATCATCAAAGACACATTGATTACATGTAAAAAATAAACTAAAATAAAATCTAATATAAATAAAGTGTGAAAAAAACAAAATGTAAAAAAAAACAAATGTCCACTGTGCTTATACAATCCCTTTATACTATGGAAATAAATGTATCATTGTATATCCAGAGACTGATACATAAGAGCTGATACGCAGCACGATATTTATCTATATATTGGTTGACACTATTGTATGAGTTGGTGTGAAGTGTTTGCGAACCTAAAAAATTTTTTTTGATTTAATATATGTTTATTGAATATTTTTGGGTTGTGTTTGCAGAGAATTCATTGTATTGGCTCACAGGTGGACAGTTGGTTTTGGATCAATACTTTTTCCCTCTGTCATTCCATTTTATTACATATAAGTTAATTTCAGAACTTATTTATTTTGGTTTATTTGTACGTATATATTGCATACCAACATGTGGTGAAAACTTCATGTCAATAGCACCTTTAGAAATATATTTACCTAGAAAAATGCTGATATGTTCAATACTTATTTTACCCGCTGTATCTCTATGAACATCCATCTGCAAAGGTGAATAGAATAAAAAACACTTGTATTAAAAAAAAGTCTTTTTTTTTAATCATTCAAAATGTTTCCCTAACCATTTAATTAGTAATACCGACTATAAAACCACACAAATAAATACAGTGGGAAGCATATCTTCTTCTTGGGAACAATATCTTAATTAATGGCCTCGTTAATAATCGTTACACCCCGTAGTTTCTTTAATGGACAAATTAGTCAGATGATGTCCTGTACTTGCCGTAAATTATTCATATAAAAGGATCCCACGCCGCTAATAACAGAGAAGCAAGAAAATTCTTATATGATTCCTGAAAATGCAAACTGGATCCGGAGAGTTCGAAGTTTAAATGCTTCAGAAAAGAAAAGCTGAGGTATGGTCAATGGCAACCACAATCTTTCTAGAGGTAAAGTAGATCCAAGCCCAATCATCCGAATCTCAAAAAGGCTTTAGAATGACAATGTCATTTTAAAAGTTATGTTTAAATCTGATTTATTTTTCATTTCAATAATCCCCGGAGATCCTGCCATGAAGGTTCTTGTTCAGGCACCTCCTGCTATGAACTGACGATTGGCTACCAAATGTTGTCCTGCACTGCCACTCTGTTACATGCCTCCCAATAAAGATTACACATTGCATACAGTGGGGATTGAAAGTTTGGGCACCTCAGCTAAAAATTTGTATTAATGTGCATAAAGAAGCCAAGGAAAGATGGAAAAATCTCCAAAAGGCATCAAATTACAGATTAGACATTCTTATAATATGTCAACAAAAGTTAGATTTTATTTCCATCATTTACACTTTCAAAATAACAGAAAACAAAAAAATGGCGTCTGCAAAAGTTTGGGCACCCTGCAGAGTTAATATCTTGTACTGCCCCCTTTGGCAAGTATCACAGCTTGTAAACGCTTTTTGTAGCCAGCCAAGAGTCTTTCAATTCTTGTTTGAGGTATCTTTGCCCATTCTTCCTTACAAAAGTCTTCCAGTTCTTTGAGATTTCTGGGCTGTCTGTCATGCACTGCTCTTTTAAGGTCTATCCATAGATTTTCAATTATGTTGAGGTCAGGAGATTGTGAAGGCCATGGCAAAACCTTCAGTTTACGCCTCTTGATGTAATCCCCCGTGGATTTCGAGGTGTGTTTAGGATCATTATCCATTTGTAGAAGCCATCCTCTCTTTAACTTCAGCTTTTTCACAGATGGCATCAAGTTACCATCAAAATTTGCTGAAATTTTATTGAATCCATTTTTCCTTCTACTCGTGAGATGTTCCCTGTGCCACTGGCTGCAACACAACCCCAAAGCATGATTGATCCAACCCCATGCTTAACAGTTGGACAGAGGTTCTTTTCATTAAATTCTGTGCCCCTTCGTCTCCAAACGTACCTTTGCTCATTCCGGCCAAAGTTCAATTTTAACCTCATCGGTCCACAGAACTTGTTTCCAAAATGCATCAGGCTTGTCTATATGTTCATTTGCAAAGTTCAAACGATGATTTTTGTGGTGAGGACGTAGAAGAGGTTTTCTTCTGATGACTCTTCCATGAAGACCATATTTGTACAAGTATCTCTTTATAGTGGAATAGTGTACCACAACTCCAGTGTCTGCCAGATCTTTCTGGAGGGATCGTGCAGTCAAACGTGGGTTTTGAATTGTTTTTCTCACAATCCTGCGAGCTGTTCTGTCTGATATTTTTCTTGGTCTTCCAGATCTTGCTTTAACTTCCACTGTTCCTGATGGCTGCCATTTCTTAATTACATTCCGAACAGAGGATATTGACATCTGAAAACGCTTTGCTATCTTCTTATAGCCTTCTCCAGCTTTGTGAGCGTCAACTATTTTCAGTTTCAGTTTTCTAGACAACTGCTTAGAAGAACCCATGGTGCTGATTGTTGGGGCAAGGTCAGATGAGTCTGGGCATTTAAAACCTTTTAGAATGACATCACCTGGTCTTCCCAACGATGATTGAGAACAATCCATGACACTGGCAGGTCTCAGCTTTGCAAAGGGGGCAGTGCATGCTATAAATTCTGCAGGGTGCCCAAACTTTTGCAGACGCCTTTTTTTTGTTTTCTGTTATTTTGAAAGTGTAAATGATGGAAATAAAATCTAACTTTTGTTGACATATTATAAGAAAGTCTAATCTGTAATTTGATGCCTTTTGGAGATTTTTCCATCTTTCCTTGGCTTCTTTATGCACATTAATACAAATTTTTAGCTGGGGTGCCCAAACGTTCGATCCCCACTGTATATAAGGCTGGCCATACATCATGCAATTCAATTTCCTCTAGATTTACCTTCAGCTATGTAGTGCAAGGGCTTGCTTGAATGTATACAAAATGATAGTGTTTAGGTTTGAACTCATATTATATAGTTTTGGTAAATCTAAAGGAAAATTGTACAAGAATATTGTATAATGTATGGCCAGCCTTAAGCCTACTACACACGACCAGAAAATCGCGCAAAAAATGCCACTCCTGAAGTGATCGTATGATAATCTGGTTGTTAGTACACAGCTTTATTCTGAAATTATTAAAGACACAAGCACACAATTTTTTTCGTAGGATACCAGATCATCCCATTTTTGTTTAACCCCTTCATGCCTAAGGATAAAACAAATCTTAATGCCTAAGCACAATTTTGCAACTTTTGACACGTGTTAGCAAAATCGTACATATCATCACAACTACCTTGTGCACGCAGGTGGATTATACCTTGTTTTTTTTTCAGGACAAATTGGGCTTTCATTTGGTGGTAAATGGTAATGGAAATCTCCTATCTTTTTTTTTTTATTACCTGAGAAACCTGGTCCAAAATAGTAAAAAAAAAAAACTTTTTTTAAAATTTAGCTGTATATTGCTTGCTACTACCATAATCTACCACAAAAGAACAACCCAAAATCATTTCTCCTGCTCCTGACGATTGCAGAAATACTACATGTGTGTATGTTAGTTGTTGTATGTACACGTAGTACAGCCCAGAAACAATAGGGCGCAATTTGCTTCTTTTTTTTTTATCCTGCTACTAACTGACATTGATACTAATTTAAAAATTAAAAAAAAAAACCTGACCAAAAAAAAACTGACCCTGACCTTTGACCAAAACACTAACCCTGGCACAGACCTAGATCAAACTTTGATCTAAGTTTTTTTTTTTTTGTACACACAGGTTTTTTCTTCTCTCTGAAAGGACAGAAAGAGACAATCTATCTCTCTCCTCCATGCAGAGAGAGAAAACAAGGGGGGCAGGCTTCGCAGTGACTGATCGCTCAGCCAATCAGAAGCTATCACAGCGATCAAGTGACCCAGAATCGTGAGTTCTGGTTCTCGATCGCTAGAACGCGACCTGGGGCTCTCAGTGACACCCCAATCTTTGTGCTGGGAGCATGCTGTGCAGCTCGCTCCCAGCAGAAAGATGGGGGTGGAAAATTAGCGGCCCCGCGGAAAAAAGCCCAGTTTTGTGAGGCCGCTACTTTGCGTGCGGTCAGCATCAAGGGGTTAATCAGTACAGTTTTCAGCCGAACATACATTACATCTCTTTCCTATTTTTATTTTGTCGTACAAGATTTTTTTAACTTTAGTAACCTCTTCCCTTACGATATGAGACTAGCATGGAAAAAAAAAACCAGACAATCGTTCGTCGAAAATTCTCATCATGTGTACGAGGCCTAAGTATGGTCCATTGTTGTCACTATCAGGAAGGTGATCCATATCAATGCTGTACAGCTGATGCTCCAAACAATTCATGTAAACAGAAAGTGCGTGAAAGAGGATGGAGGAAACCAGCAGTACTGAGTTGCAGAAAAAGGTGAAAACAAGTGTTTTATGGAAAAAAAAACTAAAATATCAGTTGTTTTGATACAGTTCTTTAGCAAATTAAATGTTGTCCAGTTAGGATTTAGATCTCTTATACCAATATTCTGTTTTAAAGTGATTGTAAACTCTCACCTTGTAAAACAACATATTCAGTTTAACCACTAGCCTACAGGGCACTTATACCCCCTTCCTGCCCAGGCCAATTTCCAGCTTTCAGCACTGTCACACTTTGGATGACAATTGCGCGGTCATGCCACACTGTACCCATATGAAATTTTTATCATTTTTTTGAGACAGATAGAGCTTTATTTTGGTGGTATTTAATCACCTCTGGGTTTTTTTTTTTTATTTTTTTTAAACCAAAAACCACTAAAAAGTTTGAAAAAAAAGTTTTTTCTTAGTTTTTGTTATAAAATTGTGTAAATAAGTGATTTTTCTCCTTCACTGATGTGCGCTAATGAGGCTGCAGTGATGGGCACTGATAGGCTGCACTGACGGACACTGATAGGTGGCACTGATGAGGAGGTACTGGTAGGTGGCACTGATGGGCATTGACAGGCATCACTGATGGGCACTGAAAGGCAGCATTCATATATGCCACTGATAGGTGTCACTGATAGGTGGCACTGATAGGCGGCACTGACTGGCACTGATAGGCGGCACTGACTGGCACTGTTAGGTGGCACTGACTGGCACTGTTAGGCGATACTGATAGGCAGCACTGATGGGCACTAATGCACACACTTAGGCGGCACTGACTGGCACTGATAGGCAGCACTGACTGGCACTGATTGGCAGCACTGATAGGTGGCACTGACTGGCATTGATAGGTGGCACTGACTGGCACTGATGGGTGACACTGATAGGCAGCTCAGATGGGCACTGATATGTGGCATTGATGTGCACTGGTAGGCACTGATATGTGGCATTAATGTGGCACTGATGGGCACTGGCAGGTGGCATGGATGAGCACTGACAGCTGGCACTGATGGACACTGACAGGTGGCACTGCTGGGGCTACGCTGATCATCAGGGCACACTGATTATCAGTGCCCTGATGATCAGTGCACATGTCCCCTCTGAGGGATGCCGATTACCGTCTCTCCTCTCCTCTCGAGCTGTCAGCGTGACAGCTCGTGAGGAGAGAAATGCCGATAAACTGGCATTTCCCTATTTGCATGAGATCAGCTGTGATTGGACACAGCTGATCACATGACCGAGCCGACATCTTCGGCTCTTTCCGTTGACCGGTGATCTGCTGTGTCCAAGGGACACAGCGCACCGCCGATCGCAGCGCTGCACGCTCCCAGAGCCACGCATGCGCGGTTAGAATGGGACGACGTCATGTGACATCCTCCCAGAACGAGAGAACCGCCTTGCGCCCATCATTGTACTATATGGCAGGCGGGAGGTGGTTAAAATAGAAATGAAAGGGAAAACATTTCTATATAGATATAGAAAGCATTATACATTTTTTCCCCTTTTTTATAAGTGATCATATTCCCTCTGTTCTCAGCTGCATAAGGCCTGATGTACACTGCTGCTCCTAAACATGAGCCAAAGCCCCAGAACCCTACTCAGTAAAAGCCCATGTGTCCGTGTACACATAGGCTTTTACCAGAGTTTAGGAGCAGCAAAATCACGTTCAAGAGAGAAATGGTTTGGCCAAAAAGCTCTAAGCACAGTAAAAACTTGGGCATTATTCATGTCAATGGAAAATACTCTGGCGAATCAAATGAATAAACATCTAAGCGCTAAACGCGGCTAAACATAGGTACACACAGCTAAACACAGTACCGTGTTTGTGCTGCGTTTACCATTTTTCTGCTGCCGGGAGATCTAAACGTCTAAGGAGCAGATTGAGTTATTATTATTATTGTTATACAGTATTTATAAAGCGTCAATGGTTTGCTCAGCGCTGTACATTACAATGGGAGACAATACATGAGACAGTACAATAACAATACAATGTGATACACGAGGGGTTCGAGGGCCCTGCTCCTTGGAGCTTACAATCTAGGAGGGAGGGGATAGTGGTACAGGAGGAAATAGCTGTGGGGGATGGAGTGGTAGGAAGAGTAGAGGAGATCGGCAATTAGCAGGGGGTGGGGTAGGCTTCCCTGAAGTGGTGGGTTTCCAGGGTGCGCCTAAAGGAGAGGAGAGTAGGTGACAGTCTGATGGATTGGGGTAGGGAGTTCCAGAGGATGGGTGATGCCCTGGAGAAGTCCTGGAGGCGGGCATGGGAGGAGGAGACCAGGGAACTAGAGAGAAGGAGGTCTTGTGAGGAGCAGAGAGTGTGTTTTGGGTGGTATTTGGATATTAGGTCAGTGATGTAGTTTGGGGCAGTATTATGGACAGCTTTGTACGTCAGTGTTAGCATTTTGAATTTGATCCGTTGGGCAATCGGAAGCCAGTGGAGGGATTGGCAGAGGGGGGTGGCGGAAACGGAACGGTTGGTAAGGTGGATGAGTCTGGCTGCCGTATTCAGGATCAACTGAAGCGGGGATAGCTTGCAGTAAGGGAGGCCAGTGAGGAGGGAGTTGCAGTAATCTAGTCGTGATACGATGAGGGAGTGGATGAGCTGTTTAGTGGTTTCTGGGGTTAGGAACGTGTGTATTTTGGCGATGTTGCGGAGGTGGAGTCTGCATGAGTTTGTTAGCGATTGGACTTGGGGCTGGAAGGATAGATTGGAGTCAAGAATGACACCAAGTACTCTGGCTTGCGGGGTAGGCCTGATGGTGGCATTGTTGGACGTGATGGAAAGTCAGTGGGGGGTGGAAGCGCGGGCTGGGGAGTAAACTAGGAGCTCGGTTTTGGAGAGGTTCAGTTTAAGGAAGTGGAGCAACATCCAATCTGATATGTTGTTCAGTAGGCTAGCGGAGACTGAGGGGGTGAGGCAAGGGGTCGAGAGAGTTCCCAGCACAGCTAGAGAACTGACCACAGTGTGCTCTCATGCCTAGTGTGGTCAGTTTTTTAATGGGACCTCAGAGGGACTGGCAGGAACACCACAGGTTTCAAACAAAGGAAGCAATACAAAGAGAACAGGATACTTTTTCATACAAGTACATGGTACAGCAGGAACTTAACAGGAATATGAAATGTTGGGTTTACATTTTATTAAATTTTTTTCATTCATCTTTATTAATGGCAAGGGAGGTAGAAAGCCCTGTCCATTTGGGTTTGTGGCACTGAGGAGCTAGCAGTGACAGATCTCAGCATTCTAGACATAAAACAAATTAAAAAAAGGGATCTCCCATGTAGCCAGACCCTTAGCCAAACCTTTTCATTAACCATTGCATTTAAACCTCCACTCATGTAAACCCTAAAACCTAACCTAATCCATACAATTAACCCATAACCCTAAACACAAAAATGTACTAGAAGCCTTGTGGGCTACGGTGCCTTGAAAAAGTATTCATACCTCTTGAAATTTTCCACATTTTGTCATGTTACAACCAAAAACGTAAATGTATTTTATTGGGATTTTATGTGATAGACCAACACAAAGTGGCACATAATTGTGAAGTGGAAGGAAAATGATAAATGGTTTTCAAAAATGTTCACAAATAAATATCTGAAAAGTATTTGTATTCAGCCCCCCAAGTCAATACTTTGTAGAACCACCTTTCGCTGCAATTACAGCTGTAACTCAAGCCCTGGCTTTTTACATGTCTTGGATGCTATCTACAGCAAGATACTTATGACATTATTTTGGTCCTGGGTACTTGGAGGTTTTGGATTTTCCCACCCATATTTGCTTGTTCCCAGACCTCCTATGTTTTTTCTGCACATAATGGGTATTTCTTCACATAATGGGCTGAGTGTGAACGGGTGTGCAGAACTCAAGCACAGAGATCTCCCCATTCAAGTCTCCAAGAAGTATAAGAAATTGTCAACAGGTTTAGCTCTTCAGCATCTAACAAAAACTAAAATATCAGTTTTGAGTTTTTAGGACCATACAACCTAAACTGACACTTTTCACCCTGTCTCTAGGCCAACAGAGTAAACGCCAAGCTCCGGAAGCTCACATAGTTGCTGACATTTGGATATAAATAAGAGGGACACCTTGAAGGGCTTAAGAAAAAAATGTGATCTACCACCTGCCAGGCAGAAGAGCAGGCATAACACACACAAAAAAGATCAACTTTTGCCAGCGGGAGAAAATAAATCACATTTTTTGGTGTCAGAGAAATAAAATAATTATGGGTGTCGGTGGAACCTCTGTTTCAACACAAACTGCTAGATAAGGCCAATTTGGTTTGGTTACAAGCCAGCTGGTAAGTGTGCTTACCAGCTGGCAAAGTCTCTTCCATATGCACCTTACTTTAAAGGCTAGTTACAGATTGGGGTGATTGCCACTTATCGGTACAGACTGTTGCCTGAATTTGATGCAGGGACACATTGGATATCTACAGCTGCCACTGTGTTCTTGCTGGGTGTCCAATGTGTCCCTGTGCCTTTAAGGAGCAGTGGGCTACCTCCAGGCAAACCTGCCGTTAAATTTATCCACTGCAATATGTGCTCCAAATTGGGGACTCTCAAATCTATAGCGTTAGGGCCAGAGCATACAGAGGAACCTTGGAGAGCCACTGTAGCTTTCACATATATTTGCAAATATTTGAAAATAAAACCTCTGTTTTAACACAAACTGGTAGACAGGGCCAATTTGGTTTGGTTGCAGGCTAGCTGGTAAGTGTGCTGAGAATTTTTTGTTGATTGTCAGTGGAATAAAATAAGTCCCATCATCTGTGTCAATGGAATAAAATAAGCTCTATTCTGGGTGTCAATTATAAAGCATAAGCCCCATTGAGGGTGTCAGTGGAATAAAATAAGTCCTATATTTGGTATCAATTGGATAAAATAGGCCCCATTGTGGGTGTCAGTGGTATAGTATAAGCCCCATTGTTAATGTCAGTGGGATAAAATAAAAACCATTGTTGATGTAAGTGGGATAAGGTTGATCCCATTGTTCGTGCATTGGTGTCAGTGGGATAAAATAAACTCAATCATTGGTGTTAGTAGGTTAAAATAAGCCCCACTGTGGATATCAGGGGTATAAAATATTCCCCATTATGGTGTCAGTGGGATAAAATAAGCCCCACTGTTGGTGTCAGTGGGATAAAATAAGATCTGTTGTTGGTGTCAGTGTGATAAAATAGGGCCCATCGTTGATCTCGGTGGGATAAAAGAAGTTCCATCATTTGTATCAGTGGGATAAAATAACCTCTATATAAATATACTGCCAGTAATTTACAGAACACACAATTATTGACACATACAGACTGTAACAATCCATGTCACCTGCCATTAAAATGTACTGTGATTTATAGTCCTAACATTGTGCATGCACCAGTCTGAGTACAGTTTAAGCAAATTGGAGTTCAGGCTGTGGCAGCAGGGGATCATAACAGCAGCACTATGCGGGGGTCAAGGAATAGCTCAGGTCAGGAGCAGAGTGTATGATGGAATATCTCAAAGTATCTCTGTCTTTAAGCATACAAAAGCCATGATCCACACAAGCCCGATGGTGTGTAATAGTGCTGGACCAATAGAAGTGAAAACTGGTTCTGATAAATGTACCGTAAAGTAATTTTTCCTTCAAAGAAGCAGATCCATGATTGAAATATGGTATAGGTCAGGGGTCTGCAACCTTTAAGACATAAAGAGCCACTTGGACCCGTTTCCGAGAGGGAAAAAAAGACTGGGAGCCGCAAAACCATTGCAACATTTAAAAAACAAGTCCGACACTGCATATATTGCAAAAAACGCTCTGGTCATGAAGGGGGTTTAAGGGCCCAGTAAGCAAAGGGTTAATCAGGGCCACAGTGTATCGTCATAATCACAATCATAGCCTTAGGTCAGTGGTGGGCAACCTTTTTTTTCGACTGAGCCAAATCTCGCCAAAACCACGATTGAAATTTATTTTGAGAGAAACATTTTTAAAACTGAAAATACATCCCCCATATAGTAATTCATCCCCCATAGTAATTCATCCCCCCTATAGTAATTCATCCCCCATAGTAATTCATCCCCCCTATAGTAATTCATCCCCCCTATAGTAATTCATCCCCCATATAGTAATTCATCCCCCGTAGTAATTCATCCCCCCTATAGTAATTCATCCCCCCTATAGTAATTCATCCCCCATAGTAATTCATTCCCCATATT